ACAAATTCTTTATTTTTTTGAAGATATTGGATGAGAAAAAAACCTGATCATATATCAGAGAAAAGTCAGAAAATTGAATAGTTTTGAAAATTCAGTATCTGAAGGATAAAGTATGGATTTTGATTGAAATTTTTAGGACATTCTAATAATTATGAGATCTCTTTATGGGCACAATTTCAGATCAAAATACCATCGTTTGATTTTTCTATGACTGTCTTGTGTGAAATCGAAAAGTTAGTGAAATGATCATAAGTCAGCTTCAATAGTTCATGGACACGACTCCTTTTAGACTTTAACTTTTGACATTGAGATCTATTTGTGAACGAAATATGAACTCTAAGTCGAGGAGATACTTCGAGCACTTTTCTCGTAAGTGTTACTTTGACATCATTTATTTTTGCCTTCGAAATGTATATAAATGTGAATTATAACGAACAAAAATAAACGACAATGTTTTAGTTGATATGACCCTTTTTTTTAATATTCTACATTTTTCCAATGATATTGTCAATTACAAAGATTTTTCTCATCATTTCTAGTCAAATTTGTTCAAAAGTGATTGCCTCTTATTTCAATAGTCTTTGATAGAATAGTAAAATAAAAATAATATTAACAAAATTTTAAAAAAACTTCTTTTCAAATTAATACATTATTTTAGGATCTTCATTTTCTTTATACATTGGTCGAAATGGTCATCATATGAGCACTACTTATAAGAAATGAAATCGGTGAATTATCCAGTAATATTCAAGTTATACTACTAGAAGAAACTCCTCTTAGAAGTTAACTTTAATTGAGTTCTTTTTCTTTTTTTTCATTTTGCACTTTTTTTGTTATGAACTACATTCTCTTTTCTTCTTCCATTCGTTCCAGTTGCCTTCCATTCTTTATTTCAGATATTATCTAGGGTGTGGGTGTGGGTGGGGTTTGGGTATGGGCTGTGGGTATGGGGTGTGGTTGTGGTGTGGAGTGTGGGTGTGAGTGTGGGCGTGGGGGTAGGTATGAGTGTGGGTTAGGTGAAACAGAACACCCACATCCCACTCATCCACACCCACACGCATATCCCACACACCCACGCCCCCACCTACACCCCACACCCACACCCCAACCTGTGATATAGTTAAAATAATATCGTCTAACTGTAGTTGCAGTTGGACGAAGTATAAGTTCTTGTGTTGCAAGTTTTTCTGCTATATTAATTAAATATGTGTCATGAAATATTTGTCTATTTTGTACAAGAGCTCGAAGAGTATGACGACCACAAAAGAAACCTTGCTGTTTTTCACAAATTATTACATCCTCAGGTGTAATGATATCATCAGCAATATTGTTATCATCAATAACATTGATATTGTTTATAAGTTGTAGACGTTTATTAGTGTGTTTCGATTCATTTCGTGATTTTTTGTTCTTTTTTTCTGTATTATTGACATTAGATATATAACTGGCGTTTGGATCAGGAATACTATTCTGAATATGAAAGGATAAAGTATAGTTTTCAGCTTAAATATGCAATTTACTGACTGTTTCGTCTAAATAACCATCACATTTAATAGGATGCTCTTTTTCAATTCTCTGTAAACGTTCGATTTCGTTCAAACTCTCCATCGAAATCTAAATGTATATATGTCATATTCAAATAAATTTAGTTATAATTATATACTTTAAAAGATTTTCGATCGTATGCTACACTCTAAAAAAAAAAGGTTTCCTCGGAAACCGATACCCCTTCGGAAACCTTTTCGCAAACCTTTTTAGGTTTTCGGAAGGGTTTCCGAACTTATGTTGAGTTTCTGACAATACCTTGAGGGTTTCCGAGCATCCGGAAACCAATGGATTTTGGAGAGAGCGGATTCGGAAACCCTCAACCGTATTCTCGGAAACCGCTTTTGCTTCGAAAATCTTTTCGGATACCCATTGCGTATCCTCGCATACCTTTGGGTTTTCGATATTTTTTTATCGAAAACCCTTTTGGGTTTCCGGGCATCGGAAACGGTCGAAGCGTTTTCCAGAAATCTAGCAAGGTTTCCGAACATAACTGGAAAACACCTTAGGGTTTCCGAATGTTGCGAAAACCTTTGAGTTTTCGAGAAAAAGTTTCGAAAACCCATTAAGTAGTATGCAAAACCCGATTAGCATTCCAATATGATCTTTTTTATTCTCATGTTCTATCGTGTGATTTTCAGGTAAAGCGGTGCTCGATATGCATGACATGAACCTTACTTAATTTGTGTGAAGTTGCTTTGTGAAACATAAGAAATCTGAGAAGTGTAAAAGAAGACCTTATTCCCAAAAGAATTCTAATTCGTTTTTATATTTCAAATAGCCTAAAATTTGGATGTATTATGACACATTTTACTGTGAAAATCGAAGAGTCGCGCTAAATTGGATGGTCACTATATGCCCTCTAAAGGCATCGTAGTCAAGCGATTTCGTGCCGAACTTAGGTTTTTCTTCCCTCGTTATACTATGGACACATGTTCACCAATATGAAATTCAGATCAACGTTAAGAAGTTAGATTAAGGGTTACAATAAGCGGACAGATATACATTAAAGAGTAAGAATAAGACCACGGAATAAGACATTACAACAACGAGTTAGAATAAGGGGATACACATAGATTAAGGACTTAGATTAGCACGATACATTTAGGGATAGATATAGATTAAAGAGTTATATTAGAGGTTAGAATAAAGGGGTAGAACAAGAAAGTAGAATAAGGGGACAGATACAGATCAAAGAGGAACAAACTGATTTCCGATTTCTTGATTTTTAGTGATTTCCATGATTTCTGACGATTTCGAGTTAGAGGAAGTCCGCTACCGTTCCGTTGCCAAATAACCGGTAACGAAAAGTTTGTGAGTTTCATTTTTTTGTTAGGATAAGGCTATTTTCAAAAAATAACGATTTTCTATAAAGTTTGATCAAAGGTTATCGAGGTCCAGGAATTCGAATCTATAAGTCGTTTTACAAAATTTGTGAGTTTCATTCTTTTGTTAAGAGAAGGCTATTTTCAAAAAATAACGATTTTCTATAAAGTTTGACCAAAGGTTATCGAGGTCGAGGAATCCGAATCTATGAGCCGTTTTACAAAATTTGTGATTTTCATTCTTTTGTTAGGATAAGGCTATTTTCAAAAAATAACGATTTGCTATAAAGTTTGGCCAAAGGTCATGGGGGTCCAGGAATTCGAATCTGTGACTCGCTTTTCAAAATTTATCAGCTTGATTTTTTCGGCCACTGAAGACCTATTTTGCAGAAATACGGATATTCCCATAGAGCTGGCAAAACTATGACAAACTGCTTCACCCTGACAAAAAAATCGAAACTCGAAAATTTTTCGAAATCCCTTATAGATTTGGATTGCTCGACTCCGATAGCTTCCGATCAAACTTTATACGAAAATCATCATATTCGGAAAATACACTTGCCCTAACGAAAAAATCAATCTCACAAATTTTTCCTTCTCAGATAACAGTGATTTCTTACCCCTACTATGGATATCAAAATTCTGACAACCTGAGATGTACACACAATAGCAATGATCTTTATTAATTTCTGTTGATTTCAAATTGATTTCCGGCATTAGAAATCAGTTTCTTTTCCCTTGATATCGATGAAGAAGTTAGATTAGCGGTTAGAATAAGGGGATAGATATAGGTTAACGACTTGGATTAGAAATTAGAACAACAGAGTAGAGTGAGGCCTCAAATGAAGAGGTTAGAATAAGCAATGGAATAAGAGATTAGAATAAGGGGATAGATTAAGGGGTTAGAATAGGGGATTAACATGAGAGATTAGAATAAGGGGAAAGATGAAGGGATTATAATAAGGGGTTAGAATAAGGATTTAGATTACACGGTTAGAATAAGGGGATAGAATAAGGATATAGATTAAGGGGTTAGAATAAGGGGTTAGAATAAGAGGATAGAATAAGGGGATAGATTAAGCGATTAACATAAGGGGATAGATTAAGCGGTTAGAATAAGAGATTAGAATAAGAGG